CTTTCAAGCATTTTCTGATTGGTCAATTGAAATTCTTTCTTTCAATTGGCCAATCAAATACTTCGCAGCATTTGTAGTGCCAATAAGTGGACCGCACCTTCAATTGTGTCTCGGACTTTGCATTTCCAGCGTGACTATTTCGTCATCTCTGCTCTGCTTGTCATCAAAGCATTCGACATACAAGTAACAGTATTTTTCCATTAAATGTCTTATGCATTTTATTATTATTGTTATTACTAATGTTTGTAATAAGAAATACTGTCAAATTTTAATCTAATCGAATTGAAAGACAAAGTCTAACGAGTTCCTTTGATCAGATTGTCCGCCAGATTGCTCAACGTCGAACGAAATTGAATACGACTGTTTCTCGTTGCCTGTTTCTCCTCGCCCACTTCTTTCGCTGTCTGAGACATTACGGACGTGCAAGAGACGCGAAGTTGCAAGAAAGGTTTCTGACTAGGCGCAAACGTTGCTCTGTGCAACACATGTTACATCCGCACGCTTTTCACGCGCTCTCCCGCAATAATGAATACATACGCCACGCACGTGACGGATACTTGCCACTATCCATTCCTTTTATTTTTTCCTATTCTTTGTCCCATACATACATCCCCAGATGGAAAAGTTACGACATATTTTCTCTCCTCTCGGAATATGCCAAAGTCGCGAGGCTGTCGCGTAACTCTTTCGTATACGCAAATATATTTTTACAGACTTTTTACATTTTGTAATTTGCACGTTATACTATATAAAATACTGTATATAAAGAACCGTAAATTGCGCACAAAAAAAATATACCTGTTCTTTTACGATTCTATCAGGTAGTTTATCCTGTAGTCACTAATTTACCTGATACGAGTTACCTTCAACGGCTGTATTTTCTATGTAATAGTTTAGATGCATATCTTTTCGTTTACGTCGTTAATGCATAATGAATCTGCATCGAATATGCAAATATTATTACGTACGAATGTTATTTCACTGCAACGATGTAATTATTCCGTTATCGAAATTGTATAAAAAAAGATTCTAACATTTCAGAGTAATCTATATTTTTAAAATTTTATTAAGAATTTATATATAAAATATTAATTTTTGTAGTATTTCTACAATAATATAAAATTATCTGTAATTTCTAACAAGTGTGTTTAATATAAAAATATAATCCTTTAACATTTTATATTCAAATACGAAATGTAACTACTTTTATCGAAGCATGAAAAGTAATATATTTTATAAAAAAGCAAAGTAACGATAAGTTATGGAAATATTGTAGTTATCAATTAAAAATTTCATGCTTAATCATACACAGTTTATTAATCTATAGCAGAAATGGCCATGGAAGTATCGGAACTCTCTCTCTCTCTCTCTCTCCCCCTCTCTCTCTCATTCTTATACACCCTTCACAAAGAACCCGCATATCCCGGTCTGATATCTCTGAATATAGTTCGGCCACCATGACGGAAACTGACTCCCATTAGCCGTTATATTTAGTGGCATGAGAATCTGTTCGGGGTTGAAAACACCTCCCCATGAGATTCGACAGCTTACCCTCATAGACCCATATGTTGCAGCACGTACTATGAGACACTCCCTAATTAGACAGGAGTCAAACTCAACTAGTTGCTGCGTATAGTCGATTATATACGATAATGAAGTAGCTAAATCATCCCGCGTGATTGACAAATTGATATCGTTAACTCGTTATCATGTCAAGCTTCCGAATTTTCAAAAAGGAAAGGGAAATCATGACACTCGATGTAATTAAAACGATATTATAAATATATATTAGATGTTTCTTTTCTTTGTTGGATATAAGAAGACTGTTGACTTTAAAATGATAATTGATTTAAGCGATTAAGAATCAAAATAGCTTTTCCCAATAAATCATTCTTTTATCTAAAGAGATCCAGACATTTTATCGCTTATTATTTACTTTATTACGAAAAAGACTTTTGTTCTTTGAGTACAATTTTAATCAGTATTTGACATTGAGTTGTGAAACCAGCGAGAGTCTCACTTCCTACTCACGCGACCTCGCGGCAATCGAACTTCCGGCTTTCCCTTCGTGAAATGTCACTTCCTTCTTCGATTAATGGTGTTGTTGGTACGTGCAAAATTCCGTAAAAACGTTTGTTCCTGTTTTGAGTGCGTAGCTAAGAAATGGCGGATAAACTAACTCTCGATACGTGACATTTTTTTTAAATTAACAAGTACATTTTTTCACATATCTTGTTACACGCATTTCTATAAAACAGTAAAAATTATATAAACTGTTGATAACAAAATCTTATCTATTTGATACAGAACGATAGTTGACGTTAATAATTTGTAAAAGCATTTTTTGAAAGATTCCTTTCGAAATTACTCTCTAACAGGTGGCTGATTAAGCATATTACATAAATATATATGATTAAATAATATATATTATATAAAGAATATATATTATCTTATACGCGGCACAGATAATTACAGCAAGATTACGGCAAAATTGCAATGTTCCAGTAGTATTTCAATAAGATTGGAAATGTTACAATGCTGCTGCAAGCTTCTATGTTATATAGGATATATTACATATATTATACATAAATCATATATATAAAATCATATATACAAAATTTGCACTTTGTTTATTGCACTTCAGAAAGAAATTAAAACAAATTTATACATCGCAAATTATACTTTATTATGATTCATTTATAGTTCATTTAGACATGGCAGTATTTTATTACTTAAGCTAATTTATGTGTAGTAACTATATCTCACCCTATAATGAATCGATCGTTATAAAATTATGGATGATTGCTGCTAGCGTACATAATTTACGTTTGTGGTTATAAAATCATAAAAGCAATTCGCGACAAAAAATCATAACGAACGTAGACAGTTACTGCTTAGAATCTGCGGTCTACGCCGCAGGTGAATAGAAGCTGAATTTCATTCATGCCGCTGTTTGACCGCTGGAATGTGCTCGAGTTGTCGAGCAGTTGAGAGAGCCGTATCTAGAGTATATAGTTTTACATTCAGAGAAAGAAACAGTCTCGTAACTACATTCAATGCGGATCTATTCTTTTGCTGTGCGTTTTCGGAATGACGACGTTAGCGTCATTAGCGTCTCGATTAACGATCAAATTTTTATAAACATTCTTTTCGGAGCGGGATGTTTCCTTATTATTTTTGTTAGTTTTCTTTTAATATACGGAAATAATGGTTTTATTCTTGGTTTAACTGAGATATCTAAAAATTTAGCTAAATACAAATCTGAAAATAATTTTGTTTGGATTTCGCAGTAATGTTTCACGAAAAGGTTAGATTCTTTTATAAAAGGATTGGATTTTTGCAAGAATCCTGTAACGCATTTATATAACAAATTACCAACGAACACATCAAACACTTTGTAAATATACACTGTTGGAAATGTGACCACGAGCTTCCTTTACATGTAAATGAAGTCCGTGGTTATGAACGAAATTAAATGAATGATTTAACTGAAAATTAAGTTACAGTAGTTACTTAAATGTAATGAACGTGTATATTACAGCGTTTTTCACTGGCAGAACTGGTGCGCACTCAGTGCATATTAAAGCTGTTTTACACTAACTTAATTTGAATGTAAAAGTGAGATATCTCAATTAATAAAAAATACCCAACGTATATTTTATCAAATACCACAATTAAATATATTGAGAATTTCGCGGTTTAATTCGTTTCTATATTTTTATTGAACGTACATTTTTACATCGATTGTACAACGGCTTTAAAATGCACTGAGTGCGCACCAGCTCTGCCAGTGAAAAACGCTATTAAATTTATGAAATTTAATGTATTTTTCATCAAATTTTATGAAAAGTCCATTAAATTTCATAAATTTTTATGAGAAATACATTAAATTTCATGTACATGTACACAAATACACTTTTCAGTTATAAATACATTAAATTTAATGTAATGAAATTAAAATTAAATTAAAAGCATATTAAATTTCATGAAATTTTTAACAGTGTATGAAAAGAATTGTTTTATTAAAGTATCTAAAAATTCGGCTAGATACAGATCTGAAAATAATTTTGTTTGGACCATCAAAAATAATTATATAAGACGCTTTAACGCCAGAATATCAAAACTTTTTGTAACACAAGCGTTCTACATACTTGATAGTCCAAAATTATTTACAGATCTATATCTAACTAAATTTTTAAATACTTTAGTAAAACTATATTCTTTCTTATATTTATATTTCTATATATTATACATATAAAGTGTTTCTTGCATTCGTTCGCAATTTATTATACAAATACGTTACAAGATTCTTGCAAAAATCCAATGCTTTTATAAGAGAATCTAACCTTTCAGTGAAGCATTTTTAGAGTTTTTACAGTGTGATTGTCGGAATCTGAATAAAAAGTTGTTAGCCTCTTTGTAACGCTCCATTATGCTGTTACGATCCTATTATCGTTTCCATAGAAAGGCTGGCGTAACTCGCTCTCGCTCATTTTACCTGCTAATTGACATGTAAAAAACAATCGGTAATATTCAAGTGACTCGGAATACTAACTTGTGAGGGAGAGATCGCTTTGTGAGAGAGACGCGGCGCCTCGCCATGGCGTCGTCCATCGCGTTTTCGAAGGTCGCATTACCGCATTTCGCGATCTTATCCCGGGACCGGATTAAAACGAGCCCTTCGTCGAAGGGATGCGACCCCGAATTCCATCCAATAAGGGAGCCGAGGCGGCTGGGATTGGAGAGGTGCGGAACGGTGAACGGAGAGTCGTGCGGACAATTGAGAGCCGACATGACATGCCGACAGAGAGCCAACTTCACGTGAGTCGGTGAGTCCCGAAGCCGCGCGCGCGATTGCCACGTCGGAACGGTCGCTCTCCCCACCACGTGACGCGCCGGGACGGCACGCGATTGGTCGGCGCGTCGGTGCGGCGGAGTAACCACGGCCTGCATGTCCTCCCGTGGAGCACAGGCTACGGACTTTCAGTCAGCGGCGCTCTCAGTCAGCTTTGGGAGGCTCTGCTTTAAACGTTAAACACGGTGGTATACCGGACACACGGAAAATCCCGGTAAGATTTTTTTTCCCCTCTCCGTAAAATACGGGCGAACGTCATCGAACGCAAGTGTCAAGTTCAAGTTCGTTAAAAACGTTAAATCTCAAGACAAGAGGAGAAAAACGTCTGACGATCGACGACGACTCGTAAACTCGATAGTAACGCGACGAGACAAGTTATCGCTGTCGCGAAGTCGATCCGGAGAAAGAGGGATAGAAGGAAAGAGAGAAGGAAGAGAAGACAGAAAAGAGCCGGTCGATCCGTGCCAGGAAGCACGAATCCGAGAATTACGTTCTACGAATTCGCGCGCATTCCTGTTTTTATTATTAACGTTATTCCGAGACACGTGTCGATCGAGGCACGTACTGTTTATTTACGCGTGGGTGCCTCCAATGCGATCTACGGCGGCGGCGGCATCGCATAACGACGGTCGTAGTGGCAGTTTTATTGTGTTCTGAAGAAAGTTTTTCCACCTCCCCCCTCTCTCCCTCCCGCTGACCGTCAACGCCGACACCGTTCGACCTGCGCTGCCAAACATTTTTCGCGCCCGAGGGACGAGTGGCACAAGGAGGGAAGGATAGGAAGGAAGGCGGACAACGGGCTCCAGATACAAAGTGTGTTTTTGTGCGACAACCGAGGACCATGTCGACCGCCGTCATGAGTAATACTTCCATGTTCGAGTGCGGCGAGCATCTCTTTAAGGTAAAACTCCTGCTCTGCTTGTCTCTGTTGTCAATGTAGATTAACTTTAATCTCGGTTTAACTTGCTCGTTATTTTTTTCTAATTCTAGAAATTAAAATTAATCGACAATTGGTAAAAATTCGTCGATCTATCTCGTCGATTTCGATCTACCGTCGTCGTGTATAATTAAGCCTGCGGCAAACGGTGTGATTTTTCCTGTTGGCTTACTCGTGATTTAGTAAATTACTAGAATTGCACCCAGAACGCGGAATTTATAATACCTAATTTACTAAATCGCAAGCAATCCAGTAAGAAAAATCGCGCCGTCTGCCTTTAGGCTTTATTTATTTAAATATCGTACACGACGTTCTCTTCAAATCTTCTGGATCGTTCAAATTGTCACTGATAAAACGTATCGATAAGTAAATAATTTTTGCCGATTATTTAGAGAAATGCGTGTACAACATCGCACATCGCACATAAAATACGCAAAATACACAAAGGACGGGGGCGACATTTTGTCACGCTTGAATCTCGTATTGTTAAGTAAACGAATCTTGACCCCCGAAGGGTATTGTCATATTTTGCGATACTAGTAGGTATTATACGGGACTCCCCACCGAACTTTTTTTTCCAAAATTCTCTTTGACCTGTTACCGTTCTTTGCTTAGCCCCATATGCTTTTCTATTCGAGACCGGATATGCACAGGTAGATTTTTCTACTCCAAAGCAGGTATACGCAGAACGACAAATGCGAATTTTTGCGTTTTTCGAATTTTGCTCGCATTCGATCCAATTGGTTTCGTATCGCAAAGTGGCATAAACATGGAATTTACTCGAATAAACTTCATTTCGCGTTCGTTTATTCACGTCTACAGTCACTGTGAAGAGAAAAAAACTGGAAGAAAAAAGGAGCGATTCCTTAGCTTTGTTCCGTGAACTTATCTTGTTCTTTAGAAATCACAAAGTAGAATTTTTAAAATAGACTCTTGAGTAGTCACTTTCGATTCCATGGCATGCCAACAATGAGAATTAATTCATTTGTTTTTCCAAAAACTCGGGAGATTCTTCGAATTTATCAAATACCACATTGTATACAGATCGTGAGTTCTCGCAAGTTCTCCATTCTTCTCTTCTTTTTGTATGTAAGATCAAAGGGCCGATCAATCCATTCGTAATTATACGAGTCCGTATAATTACGAACTCGTTCTTTTGGCGTTTTATTTTTGCTAGAAATTATTTTACGCGATAAGGGTTGAAGATAACGTTGCCGCCGGGTGGATATTAAAATCCTCGATCGTATCGTTTCGGGGTCGGTCTTCCGCGATCGAATCTCGTTTCCACGTTGCATCGTCATTCGCGTTTGCCGATCCTTCCAAGAAGGAAGGCGATCGAGCACGAACATAACCGCGACACGCTTGATTCAAAGGGTCTGTTTTTTTTTATTCTTGCACTAAACTGTACTAGAACTTTCTTCTTCCTTTAGCCAAATATCAAACGTACGTAAACAGTTAAGTCAGTGACTCTTTTTTTACTTTTTTTTTAACCAAGATTCGACTTATTACAGTTTTTCGTTTAAGAGTCACTGATTCATCAAACTGCCCACGTGTACCTATTTCTCTTTAAGTTCCAAAAGTGTATACTATTTCAGCTATAAAAAAAACAGATCTAAAATCTCCTAGGAACTCGCGCTGTATAACGCGAGATTGCGTGGGTACGAGCGGGAAAAATATCAGGCAACGGGCGAGTGGATTGAGAGTGGAGAACCCTAGGAGCACCAACACGCGTCTACGTTTACGTGGCTAATGGCGCTACGTCTGTAACAGCAAGAAAATAACGACATTTAGAAAGCGAAAGAAATTTTCTCCAAGATATCGAGATTTCAAACGCGACATTTATCGATCGCAGATGTTTTTTAATGTTTATTTTATATATATAAAATAAACACACGTACATATACATTGTATATATGTACTATATACACATATTTATATATATATATACACACACATAACGATATTTAATCTCGTGATATCGTCCGATATCTTGCGGCGCGTCATCGATGTGATCGACAATTGTAGAACATTATCAGTTGAAGGAAAACATTAAAGTGCCTTTGATAAAGAAAATCTTGTAGATGATAATTTACAAATTTCTAAATCGGGGACCATAGTTATTTAATCACAAATATGTACATTTCTTATCGACACTGAAGTCATTATCGGTATATTGATTTTCTAAATTAAATAGATGACATATTTTAATTACAGTATATTCCTGTAAAATCTATTGTTTGAAAATTTTTCGTTTATCAGTTTATTGCCATTATCTTGTCCAGATATATACATAATCTGGAAATATCAATATTTTTAACCGATATACATATCGATCGCTTTCTTTATCTAATGTATAATACGATCGATACAAGGATATTTTCGAGCGTTTTCTTTGTTGATTAAAACTTTTTCGCTTTGTGGATGATTAAATCAAATATCCATATTATTCTTAATTACCAAATTTTAATATTTTTGACATAGTTTACGTTCGGCTTCTAAATTTCTATTTTGAATGTAGCATGCATACGTTTAATTGGAACTTGATTTGCGAAATTCGCAAAAATGACCTACGTTATAATAACCCTGTAACCCAGCGAGATCGAAATCAAATCGGCAGTCGAAGTAATCGCTGCCAGTCACGCGGCTTATTCTTTATTTCGTCGATAGATCGAAAGGCCTTTATCATTTGGACGGGCGGTCGCGCGTTTTCGCACGACGTAAATAAAAGGCCCGTCGCGAATCGAGCTGGAGACTCTCACCTTAGAGAGAACTAGGCACAACACTCTCTTTGGTTTCTCCTCCGACGAGTGAGTTTCTCTGTCTGACGCGAGCTTCTTTTCAAATCTCACGCGACGTCGCTCGTTATTTTAAAAAGAAATGTGGAGTAGAACCGATTTTCAATTTTTAATTGCTCTGATATGTATCGACGTAACATTGTTATTACCGATGGTAGAGAGATGACAACAGTCAGAGAAAGACATAGCAGTAATAACTATAAGGACAACTATACAAGTTTTATATGTGCTCTTTGAAGTGGAATCTAATGTTAAAGAATGACAAAGAGTGACTATTGAGCCAATGTTAAAAAAGAGTAACTCAATTGTCAATTTTTAAGAGATTTCACTCTTTAGATTCTACTCCAAAGATTTTGGAAAGTAGAATTAATAGTTGAATATAATAGTTGAATAAATTATTTTATAGTTTTTGCATTTAATTATGTACATTAATTTTACACATAAACTTGTATGGCTGTCACCTTTATAGTTGCTGTCATTATGTTTTTCTCTGAATACGGATGACTTGTCTTCACGGAAATTCCGAATAGCAAAACGATTTAATGACGATCGAAATATTGCTGTTTTAGACATTTTTATCTTGTTAATTTATCTATATGCCAAAAGATTGTTAATATTCATGGATTAACAATAAAAAAATTAATTATCTGAAGGTTCCATTATATAAACACGCTCGCTAAGCACATTTGTGCCAAATGTAGTGTTCTAAAGTTCAGCATAAAAGAAGCATTGAATCAGCATCTGAATTCCTTTTGGTAGGAAGTTCCGCTTAAGTGATTGTGTCGGGTTTCTATCCTCTAATTAGAAATGCGTAAGTTATAGACTACTTGACACGTGTTTCATGGCTCCGTCATAATCATTAAGTTAAGATGTATTGCAACTCATTGATTCTCTCAGTTAATCTATTTAGTAAGTATGTGATTATTTGTTTACATAAAGTTTTACGTTTTTCAATCCAGTTTTCAAAATCCAAAGTATTAATTATTAATTTCGCTTATCTAAGAGAGGGAATCTCTGAATGTGTGCCAGAACGTAAAAGAGAAACCAAGTATATAAGAAACAAGATGATAGAAGATAATAAAATGTAAATATGGCAAACACGCGCGCACATAAAAGCGCGATTATCGCGGACAGAAAAATCCATATTTCATTACTTTATAGTCTTTTTTTCTACCGCTTCTTGGAGAACAATTCATAACAATCGTTCTCCATTAGAGACGTGTTATTTTTCTATCTTATTGCGTCTCGATTCTTCTCTCGCGAAGAGAAGAGATGCGATCGATATCGCACGTGTCGTAGCGAGAATTAGCGCGCTATTCTCTCCACGCGCAGAATCGCGCTGGTACTCGATGGTACCGCTTACGAGCACGAGTGTATTGGTGCATGTTGAATTAACAAATGCATTCTCTCTCTCTCTTTCTCTCTCTATCTCTCGCTCTCTTGCTCTCGCGGTTCCGTTCTTACCTCACACTCTCGATTGCACCGTCGTGCAACATGACAGAGACAGAAAGGCGTATTTATTATGCATCCCGCACGGCGCAGTGTTCCCCTCGAGCGCTCTGACAAATACATGTGAATATTTACTCGGAAAAACTCGCGTGTACATTAATAGCGACGAGACATTAAACGAGACTTGGATCTCTGACGGAACGAAGCAAATATGTCGTCAACGAACAGTACGCGAGCCGTGTTTATTAATCGTAATTTTACTAATGAAAAGCAAAGAAGTGACGTACGGGATGACAATATGGCCCTTCATATATATAATGATCAAGATTGTTATTCTTTCTCGATACAAACTGTACCGGAATTTTTTTTCCGTGAACCTGTAAGACTTGATAAATATTTCCCATTCCATGTACACGTGTACATACAGGTAGGCTTTAAATAAATATCATTTAATTTATGCAATCATAATATTTATTAAAGGGAAAATGTATTGTTTGTACCAAGCGCGAGATTGTTGCTTTTCATATCGCAAATATGTGACTTTTTTGTATCTACGTCATAAATAGCCTATCGAAATCGTATTCTGCTCTTTTATTTATTTCCGAGTTTCACGTGTCAAACGGATGACGCGATTTGTTTTCATGTGTTTCTGTGTGGTTTTGCGTATTTACGAGGATTTCTCGATGTGACCTTGACAGAATTGTTCGCTATCTCGTTCGT